TAGACCCTGTAAAGCCACCAATCTTTGCTGAGTTAAGTGAACCCATAAAGCTCTAAACGTTGCACTCCCGGGTTCATCCAGTGTACAGGCTGCACTGGGCTGATGGATTGGAAAAATAGGCTCCGTGTACAGGTAGTACCAGCTGCTTAAGATGCAGATCGGGCCTCTGATCGGAATTGCCTTCTCATGAGATTTGAGGTCCTCTTTCCCAGGATTCCACTAGAAACCCCAGTGACGGCACCCTTGCGTAGGGTATAAGAACCAAGGTAAGTATTTTGGTTAGCTATAGCTGCCATTACTGTTCACCTGATTTTTTTTTTTTTCCATCCGGCTCATTTGTTTGTTTTTTGTTTTTTCTCGATCAAAGGATGGCAGATGAAAGGGTGGTGATGCATCCACCCGCTGAATGAATATCGGCTGGTACAGGTGTACAACCAACTTCAAGGTCCCCACACACCTTACGATAATCGTACGATAATTGTGGGAAATCCCGCGATCGTACGATTATCGTAAGGTGTGTGGAAGCCGTGCGACTCTACTACTGTAAGGTCGCACGACTTTGAACTTACGGACATGTTCGAAAACCCGCTGAGCATCGTACGACGTTCGGCGGGTTTGTGGCATGTCCGTACGATAACAGCTGTACGGGCCGTTGTGCGCAAGCGCACACTGCCCGTTCGGCATTGTGGTCATCGGAAGCCCGCCCCTCAGGGGGCGTGGCTTGCGATCATCACAAGTACGATCTGCCTATGCAAGATAGGCAGATCGTACGTTTTTTTAAGTACCTTACAACCATCGCAAGGCAAAAGTCTTGCAATGGTTGTAAGGTGTGTGCCCAGCCTAATGTGTGTTTTTTTGGGGGGAGGGGAGGGGGATTCGGCCATGCACGCGGATTTATTTTTAATTACTGCAGTGCCAAGAGTTAATGTTCTGTCATGTTGTTGATGTATTTTTAGATGTATGTCTTGTAGTAGCAAATACAAGCTGTCATGTGTAATGACGGCAGCACAGATTCCTGGAACAGATTTTTCTTTTTGGGAGTAGTAATCCCTGTGTGTGTAACAGCACATTATGTGCCTGGCTTCATGGTAATTGTATGTCTGTGCACGCTTCTAATACAGTCATTTAAAACCTGGCATGTAACAGAACTGCCATCCTGCTCGCTCCAGCCAAGATCTACAGGGTCCCGGTTAGCAAAGCAGTATTGAGATCCTTCAGCAAGCCATTGCATTAAAAATCCACACTCGTAAGGAACAAGGTTTTCTTGCCGGTGAACGTCATGGTTTGTCAGGTGATATGTTGTAGGAGCTCAATGTTTTTATGTCTTATTTATATAATTTTTCTCTTCCGCTACTTGAATTGGAGGATGACATTTCTGTAGTCTGACTTCACGATACAAAAGCATGCGACTTCGCTTACCAAATGTATCTTCCTGTTATGGGAGTTGGGATATTGTCTGACGGCCTGAGCAGGATGTGCCCACAGTGCTGGCTTTAGTTTTCAGATGCTTCAGCCATGCAATAATGTTTTTGGTGTCAGTCATTCTCTGATTTTTCTCAGATTACTGTGATAAGGGAGGCGTAATATAATGTGTGATATGAACTGGAAAAGTGCACACTTGGTGAAACAATTGGTGTTCTTTAATCACTTCAAGTCCGCGGTGTTAAACCCCCTTCCCATCCAGGCCATTTTTCAGTATTCAGCACTGCGGTACTTAGATTGACATTTATTCCATCATGCAACGCTGTACTGAAATACATTTTAGACCATTTTTTGGGGGACAGACAGAGCTTTCTTTTGGTGGTATTTCATCACCACTGGGGTTTTATGTTTTATTTTCAGGGAAAAGTACCGAATTAAAAAAAATAAAAAATTTCCCCCTAAATTAAATGATAAAACATTTATTATTACGCAATTTTTTGGTAAAATATAAGAGACGGGGTCACGTCGGGTAAAAACGTTGTGTATAGATGTCACCTGCACTCCAAATATGACAGAAGACGTCAAAGTTTTAGTGAATCTTCATTTTCTTTTTTTTAAAGTCACTCAAAGTGGGATAAAAAATAAAAATGAAGATTCACTAAAACTTTGACGTCTTCTGTCATATTTGGAGTGCTGGTGACATCTATACACAACGATTTTACTTGATACGGCGCCATCTGTAGTCATTGCGAGCACCCATATTTTCATATGGGAAGTCCGGTAAGGTGTGCTGCAGGTCCTTGACATGTTTGGTGTCTTTTTACCCGACGTACAAATGTCCAAGTCCTAAAACTGTGCACGCACGAAACCTCAAACTACAATACCCAAAATTGGCCGTAGGCGATGTTTTCAAAGCTTTTACCGCTCATCAGTTTAGTGTTATCAGTGATTGATGGCCCTAAAATGATTGCTCTCACTGCGACGTTCGCGACGATATGTAACGTGTAGCGCAATTGTCATTTTTGCATGCTGGCGCCGCAAACGTGTATTTACGTTTTATATGTGTGGGTGGGGTACTTAACAATTTTTTTTATTTTTTTTTTACACTTGATGTCATTGCTATTACATAGGGGGGATAACAATCCCCCTATATAATAGCAAAGGCACAGTGACGGGTCCTCTTTATGGAGCAGCCAGATGACTGACAGGTGAATGCAGAAGTGATGTAATACACATCACTTCTGCATTCACAGCAAGGAGGAAGATGCTGACCTCCCTCCCATCTTCCTCCTGACACCATCCTGAGCCGGTCCCGGGCCGCAGATGGGGCAGCGGATCTCGGGATTGAAGGGGTCAGGAGGGGGGCGGCGGCGGATCTCAAGGGGGTGGAGGGGGGTTCACGGAGCCAGCACATACACACGATCGGTAGGCTATAGAGCTGCCAATCGTGTGTATGTGAAACAGCCGGTAACGGCTCTTTGCATTGAACGGGCTTTCTCTGCCCGTGCGCGCGAGCAGAAAAAAAAAATGCTGTCTGGAGACGGCAACCCGCAAATGCGAGTCCGCCGTCCGTCCGTTTTTTTGCAACAGGTTAAACCATTATATGTACGTTCAGTCACAAAATTTCACGTCTGTTCTGGTCACTTGTTTTCAGTGCTGGAGTGAGTAAGCAATCGCATATGTTGAGAAATAATTTTGTTGTATACCCTACATCAGTGGTTCTCAACCTGTGTAACCTCAGGACCCACATTTTTCCCTGGTCATTAAGTCGCACTGCACTGCGTGCATTGCTTGTACAACTCCCTTGTGTGCCCTGTAGAGGTGCTGGGAGCCAAAATTTGATGTCTCCTCTATAGGACACGTGAGGAAGCTGTAACCAATGCACGTATAGATGAAGCTCCCTCAGGGCCCTACCCCCATCCCTTCCCACCTCAAGCGGACACTCAGCGCCGGGCAGCATATTATGAATGGCTGCTTGGCGCAAGAACTGACAGTGCTGTGCTACGGGGAGCCAGAGGAGCATCTCACCCAGAAAGGTGGCAGGCATGCGGTGACCCACTGAAAACGGGGTGGTGACCCAGTTGAGAACCAAGGCCCTACATGTTGTTAACAAATATAGAATGACCATGTGAAGCCTCCTCAAGAGGGATTGATGATAATCCACCTAGGATTGTGGCTCCTTTTTTGTATATCTCCTCCTTTTAAAGTCCAACTCCGGACTCGGTAGACCCTCCATATAATTTTACATGTTTCTTGCAGTTAAAAGCAAAAGTTTTCCTGATGACCTTACAAAACCTTACCTGGGTACTCCTCTCAAGAGCCCTAAGCCCTGATGGAAGCAGTGAGTTGGCTCTTGGGAGGGGTTTTACAAACCTTGGTTGGTGGAATGCCTTGGTTGGTGGAATGCCTTGGTTGGTGGAGTGGGTGTGTCTAGTCATGATGGATTTGCATGCAGACCACAGTAGGTAGTGCTCTCATGTGATGCTGAGCCCTCAGGAGTGAGTCCTAAAATCCTATAACTGAATAGGTGGGCCCGGGACTGTCACGCTGTGGAGGCAAGAGCTAGATTATGACAGACTCAATCTGACTTCTGCAGCTTTTATCAAACACTGTGGAAAGTTTTAAAGCGTGCAGTAGAATCATTGTGGTGATGCTGCCGCTCTGCTTTGTGAATACTTTTAATCTATTATACTATTGAAATTGTTTTGTTTGATAAGTGCAAAAAACCTATTTATCCTGACCTAAATTTCGTAGGGCTGAGAACCTCCTGTGCTCTCTGCCCTTGCTGCACTGTTATCAATCAGCATTTTTCCAAGTGCTTTCTGTGAACTACAGAACACCTCCTCTCTATAGTAAAGTGAACCTGTGCCCAGATCATGCTAAATATTAGCTTTTAAAATATATTGAGGGACACAGAGGAGGGCCTTCTGTAATTCTAACACTTCCTGTCTGGGGATAACCAAGCTGTACCTACTTCAGTGTAGTGAATGGTGTGACGCTATGGCAGGAAGTGTTACTGGCAGGATAACCTGGTGGAAAAAAGTCTGAAAAAGAACGAATGCTGGCATCTCATCCAAGGACTGGTAAGCTGTATTATATAAAACTTTTGTTCTTGGGTTTAGATACTGTAAAGAAAATTTTGGAGGTGCAACAGGGGTGTGGAATTCCAT